TGACACCATCTGAACCAAACATGTTTATCGTGGTCTCATCAGACCACAAGTCATGGTTTCAGTAATCCATATGCTTAGTCTGCTTGTCTTCAGCAAACTGCTTGTGGGCTTTCTTGTGCATCATAGAAGAGCCTTCCTTCTGGGACGACCAATTTGATGCAGAGTGCGGTGTATGGTCTGAGCACTGACAGGCTGACCCTCCACCCCTTCAACCTCTGCTTCAATGCCAGCAGCACTCAAGTCTATTTCCCACAGACAGCATGTGCACTCAACTTCTTTGGTCGACCATGGCGAGGCATGTTTCTGAGTGGAACCTGTCCTGCTGAACCGCTGTATGGTCTTGGCCACTGTGCTGCAGCTCAGTGTCAGGGTTTTGGCATCTTCTTATAGCCTAGGCCATCTTTATGTAGAGCAACCATTCTTTTCTTCAGGTCCTCAGAGAGTTCTTTGACATCGAGGTGCCATGTTGAAGTTCCATTGACCAGTATGAGGGAGTGTGAGAGCAATAAGATTAAGGCACCATCCACAATACTCCGTTTTAGTTTACAAACGGAGAAATAAAACGAATACGATCGTTGTCTATCATTTATTTAGAATAAATAAATACAGACAAAGCATCAGACCAGAACAAACTGGGACTGAATGTAACACGGGAGTTTGGCGGCGGAAAACAGACTGGGAGTCGTTGCAAAGGAAACGGCTATATGCACAGTACAAGTGTAGGCAGATAAATGTTATTGGTACGGTACATAATATTTTAATAAAAATATGATGTCAAAAACCCGGTCAGTAGCATCGTGTTTCTGCTTTGCAAGACACAATCAGAGAGCCGAGTGAGCTGCTGCTTCATCGTTTCTAAAGTCCTCCGTTTTGGCCCATCTTCACTAAAACACCCTCCGGAGTTTTGAAACACAAAACGGGGTCGGCAGCGTTTCCAAACTTCTCCGTTTTAGGTCTTCGTTTTCATCGTTTTAGTCTGGATGGGAGGTGCAACATAGCAAAAGGTCTCAGTTTTATTTTGAAAACGCAGTAGTGTGGATGGGGCCTAAATTTAACAAACCTGCGTTCCATTCACACCTCAGACCTTGTTACACTAACGAGTCATATGACACCGGGGAGGGAAAATGGCTAATTGGGTCCAATTTGGATATTTTCACTTAGGGTGTACTCACTTTTGTTGCCAGCGGTTTAGACATTAATGCCTGTGGGATGTATTATTTTGAGGGGACAGCAAATTTACACTGTTGTAAACAAGCTGTACACTTATCAAGGACGGATTCTAACAGATTTAAAAACAAATACAGAAATAAATAAATGCTCAATAAATAAATAAACATCTGATTAAATGCACAAAAATACAGTAAAAAAAATGCAGGCAGTAATTAAATTGTACAACAAGACATAAATTATATATCTCTTTAAATTAGCTTCTGTATTTATTATTTGTAATAATTACCTTACCATTTTAAAAAGCTATTTAAAAGAGATATATATTTCTATATTTATGTCTCATTGTATAGTTTAATCACTACATTTATATATTTTTTATTTATTTTTTCTGTATTTTTTGTGCATTTAATCAGATGCTTAAATTTATTGAGCATTTATTTATTTATACATTTATTTCCCTTTATATCAGAATCCGTCCTCCATATACACTTTACACTTAACAAAAGTGTCATTTCTTCAATGTTGACACATGAAAAGATTTAATAAAATGTTTACACAAATGTGAGGGGTGTAATCACTTTTACCGACTGCACTATTTTTACTTAGTTTATTGGAAATCGTGTGTATCATTTAAGTATTTCAACACTGCAGCAGTTCTCGGGTGAGCGTGCCTATTTGGAATTGCTTTGAGGAAGTAAATACAGACTTAAGAGGTGCTGAAAGGTGCTAATAATAATGTTATCATATACTGTGATCTAAGTATCTGGCATAACAATAGTCATGTGGAAATAATAGGCGGGATTTCATGGTAACTTTTTTGTTCCTCATTCAATTCCTTGTCTCAGTCAAAGTCAGGAATTTTTCTTTGCATCGCTGCTTCCTCCTGGCTCCGGATTTGCGATCAATCTGACTGTTTCTGTGTGTCTGTTATGTTGAATATATTTCGGAAAGAAGATGAGGAAGTGAAATAACCTCATTACGACCGAAGTTGCATTTTAGGTATAAAAAATGTGGATAAGCAGACTGGAGAATCTGCTCCATCACTGAGAATAGTATACTATAGGGTGGTGGCTATGAGTAGTAACGTTTTGTACAGAACACTCTAATTTCAGATCAGAACTTGGCTTAGTCACTAATAGGATGACAGAAAGAACATAGAGTAACCAGGACCACACTGGCGAAGATTGACTAGGGGAAGTTTAAGTTGAGATACATTTTAGAGTGTGAATGCTGTACATACAGTATGTCTCCTGATTAGACTTTTAGTTCTCTTAGCTGATTTTTGTTTTTGTGTAAAAAGGGAAATTTACCTGAACAAAAGATGTGACCTCATGTTCCTCTAACTCTAAGTTTACAAAACTAAAATGACACAGTTGTTGACCTTACAAAATATATGTTGAATGCTGTATGCAATTAATGGCACAAAAAGACACAGCTAATTCTTAATGCTTTTGTAAACATGGAGAGTTGAAGAGTTGCCAGACAAAAACAAGTATTATGTATTCATATAGTGAAACTGAAAAACGTCTCTACTGTCATATTTGCTAACCTCAATCATTTTCACAGTCGCTGTAGAGACACAAACCCAAACACGTTGTCTATCAAACGAGAAAGTATATATTTCCTTTTAATTGTCAAGTATGTCTAATGTTTTTGAGATGGATCTTTTCTGCAGAACTGATTTTGTTTACTACTATTTTGAATAATTAAATCCAACGTCCAACAGGATCCTGTAGACTGAGCTGTGTGTTAGTGTCTAAGTTCACGGTTATCTGTCGTTAGATATGTAATGCTATGGTTTTTTCATGGACATTTACAATTTTTTAAATCTTCTATTGTGTTTTGATCCTAAATAGTACATGACGATGTAGAACATGTAATACTCTCTTAAGCATCTCATTCACTGTATCAGCTTTTCATGGGCCAATGGACTTCTCTCATATCTCTGTTCCTTGTTTTACACAACAACCAGTAAAATACCATTGTCGATAAAGCTGCCAATTACTCCACGCCCAACACACACATTGTTTCAAGGTTGACATATGTATTTCTGGCTAACCATTTAACCTTTTCCTCATTGTACAACTATGTCTTAGAAACAACACAGACACATAAGTAATTGTGTACCTGTGTTGTTCTGTGGTTAACACAAGTTAATAATCAATAATCAGGCAATAATAATAAGGCACTCATATGAGCTCTTAATCTCAACAACCCAAAAGATCCAAAAATGTGATATGTAATTTTACCTTTAAATCAAAGGTTAAAGATGGATAAGTCTTTCTTTTAATTTTTGCAATAATGTTTTGATTCCTCTTCATTAGGAAGAAGTTTGAATTCCTTCCTCTTTTCAAAGACATTCTCAAGTTCATCCGTTTATGTGTGGTAACACTGTAAGCCATCAGCCAACATCACAGCATCATCATCAAAACACAATAAAACTGTTCATCCAACTCCACACTGGCAACTTTCAGCAAAGTAGAAATAAACCCCAAAAAGTCTTACATAAATCATGGCTATTTCTTCAATGAGGAAAGACTGGATCCTGTTAGGTCAGATAATGCCATGAAAAAGGACAGTGTGTATAATTTACACAAAGATCAGGCTTGGAGAAGAATGTCAAAGAAAACAACAACTAAATGATTTCTAAATTTACATTGAAATGCTGCTTAAACACATTGATATTAATTAATTAATTCTAACGAGGAAAATAGTTTATTCCAATAGTTATATAAGACGGCAACTGCAAATTCTTAGAAGCACTATCACTTCTATCTGCTGCCTGTTGTGCTACTTATCATGTAACATAGAATAATAACACACAAACAATACATCAGAATCCAACATTTCATTTAGCGGAAATAGAAGGAAGAAGGAACTGCTTTAATCTGAAAGTCACCTGGACATTCCCTTGGGGTGGGGCCTCAGAGTATAAAGCATATAAAGGTTATGATGTTAGACACAACATCGCTAACTCCACATCTCCAAGAGCATCTGAAGTCTTCCTGGGTATCTTCAAAGATACAGGTAACAAATTCTGTTTTTTTTGTTGGATGCTTATATTTTTCACGACAATATAATGAACTTGTTTTTATACTGAAATTTTGTTTGTGTTTTAGAGATGCTTCTCTCTGTCCTTCTTGTGTTGGGTGTCTGCCTGGTGCCTGCTCACTCTAAACCAGCAGGTAGGCTACATCCCTCACATAGTGGACACATTTCTGACTTTTTCTTTTGCGCCTGAATTTGTGTCACATCACTGGTTAAGTTTAAAATAAATTTTGTCCCATTTGGTGAACAATTTAATAAATGTGTTGTTTCTTTGCAGGAGAATATCTCGGCAGTCCTCTCCTTCAAAGCTGCTTTCAGGAGGCAAAGAAAATAGTGGATGATGCCTACAAGTACTCCAGAGAAGAGTGAGTTCATCTTTTATTTCGTAAAATAATAGATTATCTTTCAAATTAATTCAGCACACATGTTTGTTGAAAAGCAATTTCTTTATTTCATTACAGCAACTCTGTCTCGTAATTACAAGAAGAAGTTACAGAACCTAACCAATTTATTCTTCCACTGTGTGACTTCTTCTTTTCCAGGAGTCTGAAACGAGTCCGCAAGGAGGTGGTGAGTCCTCATGATGCTCTTCGTCTCCTGAAGCAGCCTCGCGGTGACACACGCTCAGCTGTGAGATCTGCAGACTACATGGCACAAACGCTCCGTCTGCTGCAAGAGAGGGTTCATCGTGTGCACAAACGCTCACTCAACGCAACAGGTTTGACCTGCAGCACCCAATCAGAGACAGCACTTATAGATAGTTATAAAAATATTTATAGTATATATTTTTTTATATAGCATTTTAAAAAGAACTCAAAGGCACTTTATAAAGTAAAAAAGACAAAATCAGCACAAAAACACAATAACAACTTAAGATAACTATTAAAAGTTAAAAGCAAAACAGCATAAAAACTGGACAGAAACAAAAAGACAACAGGTTAGGCCTTACACAGCCTACACACAATGTATTTGTAACAACTTTTCCTAATCTGAGGTTTACTGTGTCATAATGTGGGCATAGTGAAGCACTTAATTTAAAACTAGACAAACAGTAAAGTTGATAGACATGCACAACGATCTTACTCCATGAAATGTGTCTTTCACATTTTTTCAGATTTGCTCTCTGATGTGGACCTGCAAACACTTGCCGCTATAACTGGATGTGCTGCTCGACTCAGACCTCCACAATGCAGCACCACACCAAACCTTAACAAGTATCGCACAATCACCAGCGTCTGCAACAACCTGTAAGTGAAACATTCAAGATATTGTTATAAATACAAATTTAATGGGGTTTTTTTGTTGTTGTTGACTTCTGTACACCATCTAGGGCACGGAAAAATAGATTACTTTTACATGCAATTCATTTTAAGATACCTCAAACTGAAGTCC